ATTATTATCATTATAATATCCGATCAATAGCAGATCACAAATGCAATGTTGCAGTACAATTCGGGCTGTCGAACTCAAATTGGAAACAGGATTCTGCACCATAGTCAAATAACGAAAACAGAACAGAAAAATCGGTATGAATTCCAAATTTCTACACATAATGTACTTCTATTTTAAAAGCTATACACATAATGTACTTCTGTTTAAAAAGTTCTACATAATATATATTATATTATTACTTCTGCTTTTAAAAGTTATATACATGTACTTTATTTTAAAAGCTATACACATGTACTTCTGTTTTAAAAGTAATTCAAACATTTAGAATTTACGTCTTTAAGGATTATTGAAAGGCCTGAATGCTAGTCCTCGATGAGTTAAGAGCACATTTCTGTACGTACAAGGACAACTTTGCTTGGACAAAAATACAGTTGCCACAATATGGAGTCATTTGCGTAGGAATTTGTATGTGACAACAAACCCCAAAAATATGGTTTTGTTTGTTTGTTTGTTTGTTTGTTTGTTTATTTGTTTACCTCATGTAAGGATCCACGGTGAAGTACACTGCCTCAATCAAAATCTCTGTTTGCGAAAGAAAAAGACAACAACAACAAAAGAATTAATGTTAAGGGTGGAGATACACCTGATAAGACTGGCGGCACGCAAAAATCAGCAAAAATTCAATTTTCAATATTTTCAATTACTTTTTCTAAAATTACAGCTGAGATACCAAGCTTTAAAATGAGAATAAATGATTTTGTATATAAATTTACTGAAGGTGGTAAAAAGGCCAAACAATGAACAAGTTGAAATTCCACAATGAAAAAGATATCAAAATTGCACGCATGATTCTGAACACAAATATAGAAATTTCAAAACGACAGCAAAACACTTGGTAAATGAGGTACCAATGCATATTTTGTCAGATTTAGATTGGGCAGCGTCTAAAACTGCATACTGACTTTAGGAGAAAATCGACAACCAAAAATGTGCACTGACATCTTATTTATAATATTTATAATAAATACGAATGAGCCCCGCTTCCATAGTATAGGCTCCATCTTCTTTTGCCTCGTCTGCTGCTTTCTTGTCTCTCCTCTTCTGCCTCCTATACTCCAAGGATGTTTCTGTTGTGCGGATTTCTGCCCTTTTTATCCTCTGTGAATCACCACTTGCTAGAGCAATCTGTTTATTTATGGAGTGATTGGTAAGCCCACTAGACCCACTTGACCACCTTTTAGCTGCCACAGAAGGGTCAGAAAAGAATGGCTTTGAAACTGCACTTTCTGTTCTCACAAATGAAATGAAAGACGCTCCCCAACCCACTTCGCCTTTTTTCAACTGGTAGTGCCGTACTATGACAATGTCGGCAGACAAGACCCGATTCTATTTGATTTCGGAGAATGTCAAAGTCTGTTATTTTACAGCCAGAGTCATTTTCTAGATTTAGATAAATCTTCTCCCCCCAACAGAATCAGAATTATCGCTACTAGTTCTACTAGAAATCAGAACTATCACTACTCAGATCTAGAGCAGACTTTATCACCACCATAGAGGCCTTCTAACTAGGCTTGGTCTTTGACCGGCTGTAGGTTGGAGTGGTTGGAGCAAGAGTTCTAGTTCTATTTTGATAATCTGGAGTCTGTACGTTGTAGTTAGATCTTATCTACGGAATATGTTGTCTATTCAGTCTCCGTGGCCCAATGTGGTTTGAGGTGGAGAAGAAGCAAAAGTCAGAAACAGTGTATGGTTGGATAACATCTTTAAGTTGCCGAAAAATAAGATTGGACAATATGGGCTTTCTGGAAAGATAAAGCATTGTGTGTGGGGGGTGGGGGACTATATTCAGAAATATTCTCGGCTCCCCGGGAAGCATGCAATGCAAACAGCTGATTAAGCGATCTAACACTAAGAAATTATAATTGTACAAGAAGGTTTTTCGCTGTCTATTAATGGGTATCCATTCCTACCTAGATGAAGTGAAAAAAAAATTAAAATTCGTGTGAAATGCCTTTCCCAAGATTATACCGTCAAATATCTGACGGGGTTTGAACCTACAATCTTTCGGTTGCGAGCTCAACAGCCTAAATCCGACGACGCCACAAACATACAAGCAAACAAACAAACAAAAGAACAATCCTCACCGTTTTCCTTGAGAGTGTCCGCCAGTTTCTCCTCGACCAGCTTGAAGTCGGACTGTTTTGGGTTGCCCTCGTATTGTTTAGCTTTTTGCCACACTTTAGCCACAACCATTTTGATGTTTTATGTTATGCTGGAAGGAGAAAAAATCACAACGTTTCTGTTAGCCACCCACAAGGTACAGAGTGTGAGGGAATGTGAAGTCAGGCTCAAACAGTTCCTTTTTGTAGCTTGGTGACTTGCAGCGTTTTACATCAAGCTAGATACGGCAAACTCTGGACTTGAATCAGTTTTGTTTTCTTGTGTGTGTATTGGGGGGGTGGCGCTGGAATTTGTCTTTTTTATGACAATGACAATGACAATCTTTATTCATCTCGCAGGGAAACGCGTCTAGGAAGTTTAAAATGGCAGTGAATGTTACAAAGGTTAGGTGCACTCACGCATAGGCACAACAAGACAGGACATTAGTACATGACATATGTCTTACGTGCTGAAACAACCAGATCCGTAAAACATTCTCTCTCTCTCTCTCTCTCTCTCTCTCTCTCTCTCTCTCTCTCTCTCTCTCTCTCTCTCTCTCTCTCTCTCTCACACACACACACACACACACACACACACACACACACACACACACACACACACACACACTCTCTCTCTCTCTCTCTCTCTCGCTCTCTCTCTCTCTCTCTCTCTCTCTCTCTCAATCACTCCCTCTCTCTCTCTTAAAATCATGTTGAAATCAAATAGTTAACCGTAAAGTTTTCTTTTCTTTTCACCTTTATTTATATACAGATTCCTTTGAGCTGTATTTTTTAAGTCATAATGAAATTAAGAAATTAATCTTAATTTTTTTCCTCACCTGTCTAGAAATTGTACAAAACAAGGAAGAGCAGCGGGAGAAGCTGGAAGTCAGTGTTCTGAGAGCTGAGACGTCTTGTCCAAGTTTTCTCGAGAGTAGATGGCTTTCATCACTGAGCATGCTCACTATATATATCCTTTCAAATTCCTGCGGTATTACTCAACAAAAATCTCTGGCCCGAGACAATGCTTTTTTATGGCGAGATAAGAATGCATTTGGTTTGTAGGTCGAGATGTTTCCCGAGTCTTGCATGACGATTTCGTTTTTGGCGCTCACGTCTTCTCTTGAGAACTCGCTTCTTGACCAACATAATAATCGCATTTTATCACAGAATCGACACTTCCAAAAAATTATTGCCATTCTAAAAAGACGAATAATTTAATATTACAGCAGGATGGTACCCTGTAATCTGAATGGTAACTATCTTTCTTTGGAAGTATCGATGCTGTGAATGGGGGGGAGTTGTAAAGCGGACCAGAAACGAGCGGACCAGTTTGTGCACCCCGACTTGACCCGACACCATCCGCAATGAGCAACCGTTTATTATTAGGCGTACTCCGGGCCAGTGGTGGGTGTCCGCAGACGTTGAATGATGTCAGACGGCGCTAAAATTATATCTCTACCAGACGACTCTACAGTCTACACTGTCTTAGTTTTTTAGTTTTAGTAAGAGTTTTAAGGCACTTGCAACACAATAAGGTCGTATAAGTGCCGTGTCCAGTCTACACTGTCGGCGTAAATGACGTTGTGGAAGACATTCTAACATTGTATGTGTAGCAGTAAAAATTTAAGAAGCTAAACAATTCAACAGGTCGTAAAGGAAAAGAGCCAAGGTGGTACATGGTTGGTTTACAAAATAAATCCAGTTGTGGATACTGCAAATTGGGATTTTTTTCAAGTTTTTGTAAGAGTTTTACGGCACTAGCAACACAATAAGGTCATAATAATATAAGTGCCAAATATAAGAGGTGTTACAAGAGAATTTGTTTTAGTAGAGTTTTTACGGCACTCACAACTGCATAAGGTCATATGAGCGCCAATAACAAGAGAGTAATAAACACAAAGAAGAAATAGGAGAGAAAAGAACGATAGATGTTTGATAGGAAAGAAGGAGTAAACCACACCAGAGCACCTGCCAACCACCCATCACTACAAACTGTGAATTTTTACCCATTTCCTCTTTTCACTTATTATTAATTTCAAAAGTTTAGTAGCCCGCGACCTCCCTGTCCCCACTCCCAGCTCTGTGGTCTGGCCTTCTTTCCGACCCGGCCACAAGGAACTGTATAACTGTCAGACGGCGCTAAAAGAAATCTCTACCAGACGACTCTACAGTCTACACTGTCTTAGTTTTAGTATTAGTAAGAGTTTTACGGCACTTGCAACACAATAAGGTCGTATAAGTGCCGTGTCCAGTCTACACTGTTGTGGAAATCATTCTAACATTGTATGTGAAGCAGTAAAACTTTAAGAAGCTAAACAATTTAACACGTCGTAAAGGAAAAGAGCCAAGGTGGTACATGGTTGGTTTACAAAATAAAACCAGTTGTGGATACTGCAAACTGGATTTTTTTTCAAGTTTTTGTAAGAGTTTCACAGCACTTACAACACAGTAAGGTCCTAATATAAGGGCCAAAAATAAGAGGTGTTACAATAGTGTTTGTTTTAGTAGAGTTTTTACGGCACTCACAACTGCATAAAGTCATATGAGCGCCAATAACAAGAGAGTAATAAACACAAAGAAGAAATAGGAGAGAAAAGAACGATAGATGTTTGATAGGAAAGAAGGAGTAAGCCACACCAGAGCACCTGCCAACCAACCACCACTACAAACTGTGAATTTTTACCCACTTCATCTTTTCACTTATTATTAATTTCCAAACTTAGGTAGCCCGCGACCTCCCTGTCCCCACTCCCAGCTCTGTGGTCTGGCCTTCTTTCCGACCCGGCCACAAGGAACTGTATAACTGTCAGACGGCGCTAAAAGAAATCTCTACCAGACGACTCTACAGTCTACACTGTCTTAGTTTTAGTATTAGTAAGAGTTTTACGGCACTTGCAACACAATAAGGTCGTATAAGTGCCGTGTCCAGTCTACACTGTTGTGGAAATCATTCTAACATTGTATGTGTAGTAGTAAAAATTTAAGAAGCTAAACAATTCAACAGGTCGTAAAGGAAAAGAGCCAAGGTGGTACATGGTTGGTTTACAAAATAAAACCAATTGTGGATACTGCAAACTGGATTTTTTTTCAAGTTTTTGTAAGAGTTTCACAGCAATTACAACACAGTAAGGTCCTAATATAAGGGCCAAAAATAAGAGGTGTTACAATAGTGTTTGTTTTAGTAGAGTTTTTACGGCACTCACAACTGCATAAAGTCATATGAGCGCCAATAACAAGAGAGTAATAAACACAAAGAAGAAATAGGAGAGAAAAGAACGATAGATGTTTGATAGGAAAGAAGGAGTAGAGTAAGCCACACCAGAGCACCTGCCAACCACCCACCACTACAAACTGTGAATTTTTACCCACTTCATCTGTTCACTTATTATTAATTTCCAAACTTAGGTAGCCCGCGACCTCCCTGTCCCCACTCCCAGCTCTGTGGTCTGGCCTTCTTTCCGACCCTGCCACAAGGAACTGTATAACTGTCAGACGGCGCTAAAAAAATCTCTACCAGACGACTCTACAGTCTACACTGTCTTAGTTTTAGTATTAGTAAGAGTTTTAAGGCACTTGCAACACAATAAGGTCGTATAAGTGCCGTGTCCAGTCTACACTGTTGTGGAAATCATTCTAACATTGTATGTGTAGCAGTAAAAATTTAAGAAGCTAAACAATTCAACAGGTCGTAAAGGAAAAGAGCCAAGGTGGTACATGGTTGGTTTACAAAATTAAACCAGTTGTGGATACTGCAAATTGGGGTTTTTTTCTCAAAGTTTTTGTAGAGTTTTACGGCACTTGCAATACAATAAGGTCATAATAATATAAGTGCCAAAAATAAAAGGTGTTACAAGAGAATTTGTTTTAGTAGAGTTTTTACGGCACTCACAAATGCATAAAGTCATATGAGCGCCAATAACAAGAGAGTAATAAACACAAAGAAAAAATAGGAGAGAAAAGAACGATAGATGTTTGATAGGAAAGAAGGAGTAGAGTAAGCCACACCAGAGCACCTGCCAACCACCCACCACTACAAACTGTGAATTTTTACCCACTTCATCTTTTCACTTATTATTAATTTCCAAACTTAGGTAGCCCGCGACCTCCCTGTCCCCACTCCCAGCTCTGTGGTCTGGCCTTCTTTCCGACCCGGCCACAAGGAACTGTATAACTGTCAGACGGCGCTAAAAGAAATCTCTACCAGACGACTCTACAGTCTACACTGTCTTAGTTTTAGTATTAGTAAGAGTTTTAAGGCACTTGCAACACAATAAGGTCGTATAAGTGCCGTGTCCAGTCTACACTGTTGTGGAAATCATTCTAACATTGTATGTGTAGCAGTAAAAATTTAAGAAGCTAAACAATTCAACAGGTCGTAAAGGAAAAGAGCCAAGGTGGTACATGGTTGGTTTACAAAATTAAACCAGTTGTGGATACTGCAAATTGGGTTTTTTTTCTCAAAGTTTTTGTAGAGTTTTACGGCACTTGCAATACAATAAGGTCATAATAATATAAGTGCCAAAAATAAAAGGTGTTACAAGAGAATTTGTTTTAGTAGAGTTTTTACGGCACTCACAAATGCATAAAGTCATATGAGCGCCAATAACAAGAGAGTAATAAACACAAAGAAGAAATAGGAGAGAAAAGAAAGATAGATGTTTGATAGGAAAGAAGGAGTAAGCCACACCAGAGCACCTGCCAACCAACCACCACTATAAACTGTGAATTTTTACCCACTTCTGCTTTTCACTTATAATTAAATTCCAAACTTAGATAGCCCGCTACCTCTCTGTCCCCACTCCCAGCTCTGTGGTCTGGCCTTCTTTCCGACCCTGCCACAAGGAACTGTATAACTGTCAGACGGCGCTAAAAGAAATCTCTACCAGACGACTCTACAGTCTACACTGTCTTAGTTTTAGTATTAGTAAGAGTTTTACGGCACTTGCAACACAATAAGGTCGTATAAGTGCCGTGTCCAGTCTACACTGTTGTGGAAATCATTCTAACATTGTATGTGTAGCAGTAAAAATTTAAGAAGCTAAACAATTTAACACGTCGCAAAGGAAAAGAGCCAAGGTGGTACATGGTTGGTTTACAAAATAAAACCAGTTGTGGATACTGCAAACTGGGATTTTTTCCAAGTTTTTGTAAGAGTTT